CTGATTACTGGCAGGGCGTAGCTGTTTTCTACCCAGATATTGTTCTTGCCATTGAGCCAACTTCTTAGAACGTAGGTATTTGGCTGTCTCCTTTCCTTGTGGCTTCATTGAGGTTGCCATTTGCTTGTGGGATACCAAGGTACTTGTAGCTGTCAGCAGTGCATTATAAATATATTTTTTTGTAATTGTACAATGTAATTTCCTGATTTATATTTAAAGGCTGTCTCTCACAGTGGGGATGCGCCCACAATGTGAATTTCAGACCCGTCCAGGATTTCTACGTAGGAAAACTGTTATCTCATCCAAATTGTTCGGCAAGCCTCTAAAAGCACACCCTTCACTTTATTGCTACATCCATCCTCATCATCCTCTACTGTCAGCAGTTCTGTGAGATTTCATTCTCTCTTTCTTTTTAGCTACAATCCTGAGATGGACAGAGGGTGAGAGAGAGGAACAGGCAAAGTTGCTGAGTAAACACTTGGAATCCATTCACTCGCAAAGTGGCTCCAGGGGATGGGGGGGAGGGGGGGCATGAGAAAAAAAGAGGGGGAATGGAAAAGTCAGAGGCAGAAAGAGAAAGAGTGGGAGATGCAGAAAAAAAACATTTTCTTGCTCAAGCACATCAAGTACGGGCCAGGGCTCCTGAAAACGCAGGGATTACCAGGGTACTGGAACCGCTCTGGCCCAGACCGCCTCTGACCGCTCCTGCACTGCACGCTACACTGCCCTGCTAAACCAGTGAACATGGTTCTCACGACACACACACACACACACACACACACACACACACACACACACACACACACACACACACACACACACACACACACACACACACACACACACACACGCACACACACACACACACACACACACTTGCATGCAAACAGAGACAAATCCATGTCTTCCAGCCTCAAATGAACAGGTAACAAACATTTTTGGGCACAGAAAGTTTTTTCCACAATCTTTTCCTGATTTAGGATCAGGAGGTTGTTTAATGGAGCTTCAGTTCCATCAACACATCTGGTTTTACTCGCCTGCAGCATCAGAGAAGAGGCACGATGCAACCAGAAGAGTGAACCCAGAGCTTGAATCAGATAAACTCTCTAATCAAAACATTAGGAAGTGAGCAACAAGAACACCAGACTAAAAATGAGGCTCTGGGTGATGTGAAGGAGTACAATCCCTGCAGCCTCTTATCAGCAGAAACAAGGTCTTTGTTGGTGGAGTAGAACAGCTAATGGAGAAAGAGCAGCCATGAATTTGGAACTGGATTTGTTTTTTGGGGGGATTTTGTGAGAGCTAAAGTTGAGAACAAACGAGAAGTTGTCATGTGCCATTTAGAGACTGCTGAATATTGAAAATATATGAAAATGAACTCAAACACAGGATTCAACCAGCTCCACTAAATATCTTTATATTATAAAAGACTCAAGTGAAAAGACTTTCCTAAATCACTTGACTTTGTGTGAATGACCACTGGTTAGTGATTATGTGAACATATTAACAACCTTTGTTCCTCTTTAAAAAAACTCACACAACTTACAAATCAGCACGTTGTGGGCATGAGCAAAGCATGGAAAATACAGACGAGGACTTTAGTTATTAGCAAATGTTTGTTAGTAGCACGACATGTTTTCCCATCTGAATTTAATTTACTAATTTCATGTATTGGTAATATTAATAATCCTGTCTTCCTGGCCAGAACTCAGAATTTTATAGATTAGAGTTATGTGATGGGTTTATTCTTAACCTTTTAGTCACAACGTGAAGCCTAACGGACAATCTAGCAGGTCTGTTGGTCCTTAGCAAACAATAATCTCCTGTTAGTTCTGAATTTCTCTCAGGTTTGTAATTTCTGAATTGTTTGTTTAATTGAAAACAAGATTATTTTTGTCTTTGTGCTATTTTTGTGTTTTCTGTTGTCCTTAATGCCATGAAAACAGCCTGAGTGAGGAAATCAGCAGATCATCTCTGGACTGAATCTTTCGTAGACAACAGCTACTAAAACAGTAATTATATCATCCTTTTACATCTAAATTACATTTTACAGTAATGTGAAAGGATGATGCACCTTTTGAGATTTGGACAGGACAAAAACTCTCGCTGTTACATGTTGTGGAGAGACCCAGGAAGTGTGATTGCTAACACACTACAGCTAACAGAGAGAGAGGATAAAAATCTCCTGGCTTACTCTTCTTTAGCTTCTCTCTGTAAGAAAAGCTCACTGAGACAAAAGCTAACAGTGGAAATCAAACACCCCTCTGTCCCGAAGAGCTGAGGTAGCTAAAACCTGCTCAAGAAGGAAGGAAACACTCTGCTATATTACAAATCTGAGGAAATGAACTCGAGGAAATACATCTAAAGAATCCTCCACACTGATCATTGTTTGGATTGTAAGAGACGATGTGTGTTTGAGGCATTCCTGGTGGTCTACGTGGACCAGACAGGGAGAGAAGGTGATGAGTAACAGCTTCCCTCAAAAAAGGAAGAACAGGGTTTATGTTTATTTGCATTTTGGACAGTTTTATCCAACAGCTTTTAACCCAACATGTATTTGGCCTGTGGGAAGAAACTAGAGTACCCAGGGAAAACCCACGCATACATGGGATGAGCGTGCAAACTCTAGGCTGCAGACAGGATTTTAACCCGTGTTTGTTTTGCAGCGAGGCATTAGTGCTACCAAGTGCACCACTGTGCAGCAGCAGAGATGAGTTTTTCTTTATTACAACTTTTAATAAACCTGCCTTTCCCCACTTTTATTCCTGTCTTCAATAAGTAAAGCGGAGTATCAGTGAGGTCACGCGAAGATAAAAAAGTCTCTATTAGACGTCAGAGTTTCGGAGGAGAGAAAAAGGTGAGAGAGGTGGAATCCGCAGAGAGACAAGGACTCTTATTCAGTCTGTTAATGTCTCCTAATGATGTCTTTCAACGTGCACTTCTGGTTCTTTCATTTCATGTTTTCAGTCAGAAAGTGGAGCTTACAGGTTTACTTCAAAAACAGTCAAATAAAATATCTTTTTACGTTTAACAAGAAACCTAAAACAATGTGTTCTGCAGATGCCTCCCTTTTTATTTCAGTAGAGCTGTTGGTCCTAAGCCTGGCATTGCCTGGTGGTGAGAGACAGATAGCAAGCATGCAGACAGACATCAGAGTGATTCAAAGTTTTATTAGTCTGGGGGGTGGGGGTACACCAAGACTCAGCCTTTACCGTCTGCTAATGTTAGCCCATCACAGGAGGCATGCATAAATACAGACAGGAATTCATTGTTATATAAAGATCAAGAAAAGTGAGACTCAAAATCCTACATTATATAATAATTATGGTTACAGTTTTCTAATATTACAAAATGAAGACACATTTTAATGTGTCTTTAGTCTCCCTAGCGATTCGTTTCCTTAGACTTTGATGCTAGCTTTGCAGTTTTCTCTCTCTTTTTTTCTTAAAGAAAAGTAGGACAGGAGATTCTGTTTGTTTACCATCCAGTACCACACCCATCCAATTCCTGTTGTCCTACCTATTGTCCAGGAGTGGCTTAAGCAGGTGGGATCAGCATCCATAAGACACACAACCCACCACTAAAGTTCATTCGAGAACTCACTAAGTAGAAAGCCACATATACAAGATACAGATGCACACATGCAGGGTAGAGTTTGTCCTACTTTTTTCATTATATTAGGGTGCTTCTTGTCAGTTTATTTGTTTTTATCTTCTATTATCTTGACTCAAGCCAAAGAAAAAACATATTAAAGTGATTCAAACATTTGTGTAATTGCATTACCCGTGTACACACAACTTTAGACAGTGTCTCCATTCCTTGCATGAGGATGATGTGGAACTGGAGAGCTACTTCAGTGGCAGGCTGCTGCATAGATCCTTCTGCCCAAGACCTGCTAGACTCCATAACCACTACTGCTCCCTGCAAAACCAGTAAGCAGTTTTTGCATCCTTGCTGCTTTTGTGATTTCACAGTTGTTGTTCCACTTGCACTCTGCATTGCACTATTCT